GCTGCATCTAATTTGAGAACTGGAGTCTGAAATCTGCCACTAAGGCAGAAATCACATAAAGCTGAATTGACCCCTATCACTGTCCTTTCAGCTGAAGTGAGTGGTTTGCCTTTCTAGTCCCAAAGGTAAAGGAAGTACTTAGCTTTCCACCCCAGAATACACTTAGCGTGGTGAGATGCAGGACCTGTGAGAACTGAGCTCCACAAGGAATGCAACAGGTGTCTCTCCCATCCCAAGTTCACTCAGGGCTCAGAGGACACTCAACCGAGGGGGAGGCAGAGTAGAATCTTGTACATTATTTATTTCCCTCCCTCAGTGAATACAACAGAATGTGAGTATGTGAAAAAGCATGTGTGAAAAGATCCCACCACATCCTTATCGTGAATACGACCTGGTAGGGCAGCTCGGGATAGAGAATGAGTGTAGGGGGAAGAGGCATGATTAGCCATCCCCTGGGCCTGCCACTCCTCAGATTAGGATTTATGACTGTATGTTCTAGAGGAGCATGCCAATTTCACATTGTGTCTTTAAATATTGTGCCACAAATGGACTCTATGCTGAGAAATGTTTTTAAAAAACCAAAGCAAATGATCACACATAGGGTTTTACATGTGGTATCATAAATGCAGAGAGTCATACCCAAGATAGAGACAAAGAAAGATTTTATTTAGCATAGAGACATATTTCTACTTACCTAGATAGAGAAACTTCTGGATAAAAGCCTAAAATGGAAAATAAAGGTAATAATAAGAAATAATTATTTTTGTGCATTTAGAAAAATAAATTCACAGTCAGTAGTGGGTTTGGGAAAACCCAGAAATATAAATTCATTTCTCAATGGTAAAATCATCTACTTTTATTAATGAAAAAGAAGTGATCTTTTGCTTAAAAAAATATGGGCTATTAACAAATGTCTATCTATTGCTGGAAAGTTCTTGCTATATAAAACCTTGGCAACTTTAGAACAAAAGTGTTACATAAATTAATTAATGAAATAATGCAAATATATTAAGTGATGTATAATATAAGAAAAATGATTGAATAAATAGGGCTGAGCCCTATTCCAAGAAATCCATTCTAATAAAGGAGCGGAAGAATAAATAATATAAAAATAACAATCAACCTGAAATAACCCAGCATCTTTCTCCTAAAAACCCCCACTATGTTACATTTACATATTTACTTTTATAAGTGGATCAATTTATAAATGGTAATTAATATTTTTAGAAAAACTCAGTATCTTATAACTAATTGTTATTAAAGTAAGAAGAACTAGTTTATTTTCTATATAGGGACACATTTTATAATAAAAGGAACAAAGTAATAAAACTCATTTTCTTATAATTGAGAAAATCAATGTAGCATTGTGGTCAATCACCCAGACACTGGAAGTCATGAAGTCCTGGGCTTAAATCCCAACTCTGTCTACTAATTACTAATTACTAGCCAGAATCCTTAGATAAATCAATTAACCTCCCTAAACCTCACTGCCCCACAGATTACATGGCAATATAAATAGTACCTACCTCTCATAAGAGCTGTTTTGATCATTAAACAAAAGTTACGTATGCAAGTGCTTAATGCTATACCATCTAGCACCCAGCAAGTGTATTCAGTAAGTGCTAGCTATATTATGGCTTCTTATAGCCCAAACCATTAAAATATACAAATATATTCAAAATACAAATATTCTATTAGTACCATTATTGCTAACATTATTGTCATGAAATTATGTTAACTTTTAAAAATCTAGCTTCCCTCCTAAGAGTCTCTTGTATTTCATTAAAATGTTTGTTTCTATTTTGTTTTCTACAAGGAAACTTCTGTAATTACTTCAGGAAATATATGCCTTTTGATTAACTTTTTTTACTTACGTCAGAATTATCATCAAAATCCCCAGAAAACAGGTCAATGGGAGAATCACATGCTTTGAGGTTGATCAAGAGGGCATCAAATTCCTTGCCCACTTCAAAGTTTCCAATTTCTTTGTCAAGCCCCAGGGCTACAGGGTGGAATAAATTAATAAACAGTTAGTAATTTGTGCCATCAGACCATGTCAATGTCCCAATTTGGAAGGACAGAGTCAGCCAACATGCCACTAGAAAAAAAATTAGTATCTTAATAGTGAAGCATAAAAACTCTCTCATTCCAACAGGTCACAAGACTTTGACTTACAGAAATCAGAGTAAGCACAGGGAAAGCAAATCTGAGAATAAAAACAGTTCCCTTCATCACCATGATCATAATTCTGATAGTGTCTCTCTATTTCAGCTCTATCAGTGCACTTCATAGTCCAGCTGGTTATGACTTTCATTCATCCCTCCAAGAAACACGGCAATTGAAAACATATATTTTTTTTCTTTTTGCCTCCTAGTCTCCCCCACAACACTCCTCTCCTTGCCCTTCTGGATCCTTTCGTTTTCTGAAATAGCTGGCAAGATCTATTTTCATGGCAGTCAAATAAACGTCAAATAAATGAAAAATAATTATCCTTTTGCACATTGGCCAATGCAGGCATATCCATCATAAGTTCCTTAGTTTAAATCCTTGGAAGAGAAAAAATTCACTTCTGAAAGTAAACAGATTCTCAAAGATTTTCGGTTGCCAAAGAAGAATAGTTTTCTAAAATAGGGCATAGGTCAATATGTTTATTAATTTGATCCACCTCATGGCTAGCATTCATGTTCCATGTGTATTAGATGACAAAGAGCATCTCTTTCACTGACATGATTTAGTTTCACAAGATGGGAATAGTTGACTTTCCTGGTCAATGAAGGTATTGAATCTTGAGCTCAGGAAAGCCTGTAATTTGAGAAAGGTGTACACTGAGGTACCAAATGGAAACAAGCATAAAGGGAGGGTCAACTGGAGTGCAGCACTTTTATTTAAATTCTTGCATGTGTTTTTTCTATTCTTTCATTGTCAGGATACAGTCCAATGTGAAAATATTGGCTGGCATGTCCCTGTTAGACAATATCTGATACATTACATTTCTACTAGAGGCCCAGTGCTCAAATTTGTGCATGGGTGGGGTCCCTCAGCCTGGCCTGCAATTGGGGCCAATCGGGGCCATCTTACCCAGTCTTGATCAGGGCCAATCAGGACCAGCCGGCCAGAGGGACCATGGGATATTGGCTGTTGGAGTGCATTGACCACCAGGGGGCAGCTCCTGCTTTGAGCGTCTGCCCCCTGGTGGTCAGTGTGCATCATAGTGACTGGTATGACCAGTTGTTTGGTTGATCAGTCGTAACAGTCACGTAGGCTTTTATATATATAGACTAGAGGCTCAGTGCACAAAAATTTGTGCATTTGAGGGTGGTTACTCAGCCTGGCCTGCACCCTCTCACAGTCCGGGAGCCCTTGGCTGATGTCCAACTGACAGCTTAGACCCTCTCCCCCGGGATAGCGGGCCAAAACTGCAGTCTGGCCTCCCTCTGCAGGAAGCGACTGGTGGGTTGATTGGGAATGGCACCGGCCAGCGAGTGGCTAACCCCACCCCCCATTGCCCTGCCACCGCAGGTCACTACCACCCCCTGATTGCTGTCAACTCCCTCTGCCCACTGGTAATCACCTTAGCCGGCCTGCCTGCTCGCCAGCCCCTCTCCCCGCTCACTGATGGTTCTGTTGTTTGGTCGATTTACATATTAGGCTTTTATTATATTAGGATGGATGTATGGATATGTATTGGCAATGCACTAATCACTGACTTAGAAACCCTACTTATTCTTAAAAGGTTATTTAAGAAACCAAGATGGCGGCATAGCTAAACACCTGAAATTGCTGCCTCCCACAACCACTTCAAAAATGAAATTGCTGCCTCGCACAATCACCCAGAACCACAGGAAGGCTGGCTGAGTGGGAATTCTACAACTAGAAGGAAAGAGAAAAGCACACTGAGACACAGAGGAGGTGCGGAAGTAAAGTGCAGAGGTACAGAGGTACTCGCAGAAAGGGCTGGCAACTGAGGATGTGGCTCACATGGAAAGGTCTGGCAACTGAGGACACGGTGCACGTGGAAAGGGCTGGAAACTGAGGACACGACTGTCTTTTTCAACTGGGAGGGAGACACAAGCTCCTGACTGCTCTGAACTCCAGTTCCAGGCGAGTCTCTGGGGACCCAGACTCATACAGAAAGAAACTGGACTGTCTGGCATCGGTCGGAACTCGAGGGCAGCTCTCTCTCAGAGGTGCTTGCAGCGATTACCG